AGTTTTGAAGTGTAGGAAGAAATATCCTTCTGGATTCTGCTCCAAGTGGGGAAAAAGACACTGGAAACATGGAGACTGCTTGGAAAGATGGTTTAATGGTGGACAGGATCACATGGCTTGAGTTCCCAAACAGAAAAAGGCAGATACAGGGAGTTTTCAGGTTTTATGCTCTCTCTGCCTTTGAACTTCCTGGGGCCCCAAAAGAGTATCCTGATTGGTTGTCAGACTCCCAGGGGGTGGGGGTCTTAGGTAGCCTTGCTGGCGGATGTAATCTTCCCAGGTGCCATGTGGTGAGTTTTGTCCTAGATGGGTCCCATTGTCTTGCAGATGAGGTCCATTGACAAAGATTGAGTTTCTGCCTCTGGCCCATTAACAAAACGGTGGGGGCAGGAAGGTGGGAGCTGCTTTGTCTTTAAAAACATGCTTCTTCATTTCTCATACAGGGAAACATAATATTCTGCCTTTTTAATATTTCCTAAAATATTTCATTCCTCTAGGAAAGGGGTGCATGCTAACCTCCTACAGAAGCTTTGAACCCTCCTCTCTTAATATGTTCTCTGAGAGTGAGATACCTAAATTCAGGCAGTATCTAAATTTAATCAAACAATTACAGATTCTGCCTGAAGTGATTTGAACAACCGTATTTAAGCCCAGGGTGAAAGATGAATCATGGAACATATATGTACAGCTCCAACTCTGTTTTATTCTTGATAAAATCCCAACTTTGTTGTTGTTAGTTACGAAGTCATGTCCGATCTATTGCGACCCCATGGATGTTTCTCCAGGCCTTCCTGTCCTCTACCATCCTCTCGAGTCCATTTAAGCTCACGCCTACTGCTTCAGTGACTCCATCCAGCCACCTCATTCTCTGCCATCCCCTTCTTCATTCATTCATTCATTCATTCATTCATTCATTCATTCATTCATTTATTTATTTATTTATTTATTTATTTATTTATTTATTTATTTCAATTTGTATACCGCCCTTCTCCTAGTGGACTCAGGGCGGTGCACAGCCAGAACTAAAACACATACCAATACAAAATTTAAAATTTTTAAAAGAATTTCATGACTTTGGCCCAAAATTTAAAACATTCAAACTAAAACCCATTGACAATTTAAAAACTAAAAAAAAGGGGGGGGATTCACGCCAGCCCTGCTTGATGGAAAAGAAAAGTTTTTAGGGCACGGCGAAAGGACCGGAGATCCGATATCCTTCGTATCTCTGGGGGCAAATTGTTCCAGAGGGCAGGAGCTGCCACAGAGAAGGCCCTCCCCCTGGGGGTCCCCAGCCGACATTGCCTGGCTGACGGCACCCTGAGGAGTCCCTCTCTGTGGGAGCATACTGGTCGGTGGGAGGCTATCGACGGCCCTCAATCCTTCCCAGCATTAGGCTCTTCTTCAGTGAGTCCTTCCTTCTCATTAGGTGGCCAAAGTATTTGAGTTTCATCTTCAGGATCCGGCCTTCTGAAGAGCAGTCAGGGTTGATCTCCTCTAGGACTGACCAGTTTGATCGCCTTGCAGTCCAAGGGACTCGCAGGAGTCTTCTCCAGCCCCAGAGTTCAAAGGCCTCAATTTCTTCAGCACAAGGGGAAAAAATAAAATAAAATCCCAACTTACCCCAAAGCAAAGAATGGGCCTGGGCCACTATCACCCACCACCCCATGGTTAGTCACAAAGAACCAAAGCAGACAATACTTCAGGAACATTTAAGTTAGAAAAGCCAGTTAGAAAAAAATCGTAAAAAAAATTATTAGGTGAAACCTGGAGATCATCTAGTCCAACCCCCTGCAGGAATCCATGCTAAAAATACCACCCCCCCAGCGCTGACCATGCATCCTCTGTGGTTTTAGTGTTTAAAAGTCCCTGAATCCATGTTTAAATCTAATTGGCTATAGAACAGAGATGGAGTTTACTGGAGCTTTTGTTGTGTAAGGTTTTTAAATTCAGCTCAGAATCTGATAAGTCCAACGAAACTCTAAACACGAGGCTACTGATAATCAGCTTTATTTTCCGCAGAAAGCAAAACTGGACGACCCCTTTTTGCCTCCCATCTTAAAACAGAGTAGAAAGAAAAGCAGGCGCGCGCACACACAAAAAAACTTTCCCAAACTTCTTGTAATTCACACAGCTTGCGTCATTGCTATAGAAACATTATTTCATATCATGATTTTTCTCAGCGCCCTGAAAACAATAGACCTTAGAAGGGGAAAGAAATACATTTTCGGGCATATAACTCAAGAGCTTTGTTAGGGAATGCTCTCTCTCCTTAGGTTGCGGAGAATCCGCATTTTAAGTTACAGGAAACAAGCAGAATCCACATTTTGCATTTCGCAAGAAGTTACATTAGGTATTTGGCAATTCGCCTAGAGCAGGTGTCAGCAACCTGCGGCTCCAGAGCCGCATGCGGCTCTTTGGGCCCTCTGCTGTGACTCCGTTGGGTGATCCCACCACTGGCTGGCCTCACCCCTCTTCCTCCCCTCCCAGTCACTCCTCGCCTGGCCTGAGAAGGTAAGGGCGATGGCAGGGGATGGAGAAGCAGCCAGGGCAGAGATACAGAGATACAGAGAGAGAGATACAGAGAGAGATAGAGATAGATAGATAGATAGATAGAGAAAGAGAGGGGGGGGTCAAAAGGGTTTTGTGGTTCCCGGTGTTTTTTAACAACCGGTTTTCTGCCCTAATGACCAGCTGGGTAGGCGTGGCTGGGGGGGGGTCATGTGACTGGTGGAAGTGAGTGGCATCGAGTTGGCTCCGCCCACCCAGGTTTTGTGGCTCCCGGTGTTTTCTTTTCTGTGGGAAATGGGTCCAAATGGCTCTTTGAGTGTTTAAGGTGGCAGACTCCTGGCCTAGAGGCTTTATCTATGAAAATTGGCACATTAAGTCACAACTGAGCTCAGCTTCACCTTAGACACCCTCTGTATATGCTCTAAATCCTTTCAGTTGAAATAATTACTGAATAATTTTGGACAGGATTGGTGGTAAGGCACCAGGGATGGAGTACGGTTTGAAATCGCTTAACCGGGAGGATTTTTCATCAGGTTCGCCTGATTCGCCAGTTGTGTCCCTTTCCAGATCGGGACTCGTTACGCACGGTCACTCATGCCCTCGTCACCTCCCGTCTGGACTATTGTAACGCTCTCTACATGGGGCTCCCCTTGAGGAGCACTCGGAGGCTCCAACTGGCGCAGAGTGCGGCCACGCGGGTGGTGACGGGAGCGACGTGGCGCTCCCATGTAACACCTCTCCTGCGCGAGCTGCACTGGCTCCCGGTGGGTCTTCCAAGTGCACTTCAAGGTTTTGGTTATCACCTTTAGAGCGCTCCATGGCTTAGGACCTGGTTATCTACGGGACCGCCTGCTACCACCAATAGCCTCCCACCGACCAGTACACTCCCATAGAGAGGGGCTCCTCCAGGTGCCGTCGGCCAAACAATGTTGACTGGCGGCCCCCAGGGGGAGAGCCTTCTCTGTGGGGGCACCTACGATCTGGAACGAGCTCCCCCCCCGAGATACGGAAGATCCCGGATCTGCGTACCTTCCGTCGCGCGCTCAAGACCTTCCTATTTCATCAAGCCGGCCTGACCTAAGTCTTTCCCCCTTTTTAAATGGAAATTTTAAATCTGGTTTTAAATTATTGGGGTTTTAAATTTGTTCAGCCAAATTATTTAATTCGTTTTAATCTATTTTAAATTTTGTATTTGTTTTATTCCATGGCTGTTCACTGCCCTGAGTCCTTCGGGAGTAGGGCGGTATACAAATTCAATCAAAATAAAATAAAAATAAATAAAAATAAAAGTTAAGCAAGGAAAGCCATCAGGACCCAGCGTCACTAACACCTTTTAGGCAATTTGGGGGTTCCCTCGTGGGGCGCAACATGTAGCACTCAAGAGCCTTGGTAGCACAGTGGACTAATGCACTGTTATCAACATCTGCTGCTTGCAATTACTGCAAGTTCAAATCCCACCAGGGTCAAGGTTGACTCAGCCTTCCATCCTTTCAAAGGTAGGTAAAATGAGGATCCAGTTTGTGGGGGCAATAAGCTGACTTTGTACAAATATACAAAAGTATGAAGGCTATTGCTTAACGCATTGTAAGCAGCCCTGAGTCTCCGAAGGGCACCATATAAATTAAAGCAAAAAAAAAAAAAAAGATGCTGGGGAGCATGGTTATAAACTGTGCAATAATCCAACTGGTCACTCCACTTGCAGGGGGTCCCTTAAAAGCCCCCCCCCTACAGGTTTGAAAAGGCCGTTCAACAGAAGACAATTAAGGGTGCTCACAACAAAACCCACAAAGTTAGGAAACAATACTGTGGGAATGCGGGTTGAACTGGATACTCTCTGAAGGACCCTATTTTGTTCTCTTTGTTCAGAACATAGACTGTATTTGCAAAGGCAGAGACATCTCCTTGTAGAACATTCCTGAGGGTTGAAGTAATCTGCTAACGGGAGATGGACCCCCTCGGCTGGCAACTGGCAGCAAATATAACATAGCCAGAGTTAAGTTTTGTTTTCCACCTTAAGTATTGCTTTCCTAGAATTCACGTGATTTACTGTAATAGGTAGAATGTGAAACCTATAAGAATATATGGATGCTTTTCTATTTCTTGTATGTAATGAGATGTGTAGCCATAATAACGCCTTCTGATGACGCTGTATTTTGATAACTAATAAAAGAGATGGTAGCCTTTTGTTCTTTGCTCCATCATCCCGAGAAACACCTGCGTTTGTGTCTTCTCTAATCTGGACCATACATGAGGAGCCCACCAGGTTGACTGCAACACAATACCCTCAGCGAACAACAACTTTCCAAAGGGGTTTCACACTTGGCCAATAAAGAATTCTATCTTCTTTCTCACATAAAACGCTTCTGAGAAAAAGGGTGGATCGCTTTTAGACTCGACTCTTTGCGGCGATCCTAAGGAAGACCCTTGGGCGGACTTCAGCCCTTTCCGCGAATTAGTGAGAGGGCTCTTAAAAGAGCCTTTGGGGTGGGGAGTTGTCAGTGGGTCTCTGGGCGTCTTTTTTACGCCCTCTCCCCGCGGATGCGCCGGGCCAGCTGGATGTCCTTGGGCATGATGGTGACGCGCTTGGCGTGGATGGCGCACAAGTTGGTGTCCTCGAAGAGCCCCACCAGGTAAGCCTCGCTCGCCTCCTGCAGGGCCATGACGGCCGAGCTCTGGAAGCGCAGGTCGGTCTTGAAGTCCTGCGCGATCTCCCGCACCAGCCGCTGGAAGGGCAGCTTGCGGATCAGCAGCTCCGTCGACTTCTGGTAGCGGCGGATCTCGCGGAGGGCCACGGTCCCCGGCCGGTAGCGGTGAGGCTTCTTCACGCCGCCCGTGGCCGGAGCGCTCTTCCGCGCCGCTTTGGTGGCCAGCTGCTTGCGGGGCGCCTTCCCGCCGGTCGACTTGCGAGCCGTTTGCTTGGTGCGAGCCATCCTTCTCTCTAAGCGCTGCTCCGCCGCTGCCGCTGCTGCTTCTCCTCCTCCTCGCCGGAATTCGAATGAAGGGACGCGCGCTGTCGCGGCCGTCCTTTTATAGCCGGCTCGCTCTCCTCTGATTGGCTGGGGAAGAAAGACGCTATTCGAATGTTCGAGATTCGTCGGGGATTGGTCAGAATTAGACAACCAGAATCCTAACCAAGTGTCAATGCAACAGGTTAACCCAGCTGTTTCCCGCCGGTCCACTTGCGAGCCGTTTGCTTGGTGCAAAGTTTTGGAGGAGTTTGCGCGTTCTTAATCCTGGGAATTTATACCCGGCGCGCTTTCTCTCCCCATTGGCTCTTTTCGAATTTGAATCTCGCGCCCAAATTTCGACTCCGCCCTTTTTTTTCCTCCTCCCCTTCCTCTGGTTTCCCATTGCGAATTCAATAGCTGCTTTTCATCGGAGTAATGAACTTATTATTTCACGCTACCTGGTTGCCTTCTCTCCCCGCCCTTAACTTTCTCACGGTCTGATCAAGAATGTTGTTTTTTTTTTAAAAAAGGGTTCTTTTTAAACGTTTCAAAAAAAAATTCGAAATATCTTTTTTTAAGCCAAGCGGTCCTGATGTTGAGGCTACAAGACATCCTTGAAGTCTGTAGAGAGATTCTCCATCATTCCGGTCGTGGTTGTCCCAAATGTACTTTTTTTTTTTTTCAGGAGTCAACGGGACTTTCTCTTGTTTTTTTTTTCTCTTTTGAAGACGTTTCGCTTCTCATCCAAGAAGCTTCTTCAACTCTAGACAGGAGCTTTCATTTCCCCCACCTGTCCCGTCAGAGCTGAAGAAGCTGCTCGGATGAGAAGCGAAACGTCTTCAAAAGAAAAAATAAAACGCCGAGAAAGTCAGAGTTGAAAAAGCAAGTTATTGTTCAAAATTTGGCAACTTTTTAAAGTCGTGGGTGGACTTCGACTGCCAGCATTTTCAAGCCATCTCTATATCTTTTAAAAGAGTGGTAGCGTGGCCGAGCGGTCTAAGGCGCTGGATTAAGGCTCCAGTCTCTTCGGAGGCGTGGGTTCGAATCCCACCGCTGCCAAAGGTACCTTTTGAAAAAATCCCCCCCCCACCACCTTTGAGACTCTGCCAAAATCAAAAGCGAAGCGATCTTCATCTAAAAATGTTTTTTTCTGCTTCGCTGAGAAAGCAGAGTTGAACCTGATGACAAGTTTGAATGGCAGCGGTTCCCATCTTTTATCCTGCCAAAAAAAATAAATAAAAACGGTTTAGAATATGCATGTGTTTCTCTCCAGAAGCCAAATTTGACTTGAGGAACACTTTCTTTTTGTGTGGTTAGAAGCAAGGGTGAGATCCAGCAGGTTCTGACAGGTGGCGGAAATTTTGAGTAGTTCGGAGAACCAGCAAATAGCACCTCTGGCTGGCCCCAGAGTGGGGTGGGAATGGAGATTTTACAATATCTTTCCCCCAGGAGTGGGGAGGGAATGGGGATTTTGCAGTATCCTTCCCCCAGGACTGGGGAGGGAATGGAGATTTTGCAGTATTCTTCCCCTGGAGTGGGGTGGGAATGGAGATTTTGCAGGATCCTTACCCTGCCATGCCCACCAAGCCACGCCCACAGAACCGGTAGTAAAAAAATTTGGATTTCACCACTGGTTAGAAGACTACTTCTAGCCGTAAAGATTTGTTTAGCCACCAAATCAAGACTCTGGGTGGGACGCAATGATGGAAAATTACAAAAAGCAACCACCGAAAGAAATCTTAAAATTATAAATAAAAAGAAGACGGATAGCAACCTCTCTTCCCAAGAGAGATGACAATAAAACATGCCTAACCATATCACCCTACTACCATCTCCCCCTCTCCCTCTTCCCTGCCCACCCGTCTGTCTTTTGTTCTCATGTCCCTGTTTGTTTTCTTTTTCATTATTTATTCTATTGTTCCGTTACTTTATTACGGTTATGCTTACACACTTCTTTTCATTTCTTTGTAGTAAGAATAATAGATTCTTACTAATAGAAAGGGATAATTAGAACTGCAGAAAAAACAATTGCTACCAACCTGCCTTCCCTTGAGAATAGAATAGAATAGAATAGAATAGAATAGAATAGAATAGAATAGAATAGAATTTTTTATTGGCCAAGTGTGATTGGCACACAAGGAATTTGTCTTGGTGCATATACTGATCCATAATGCTGATCCATTGGTGCAGACATATCTTTGGTCATCTAGAGACAAAGATGTAGAGTAGAGTAGAGTAGAGTAGAGTAGAGTAGAGTAGAGTAGAGTAGAGTAGAATAGAATAGAATAGAATAGAATAGAATAGAATAGAATAGAATAGAATAGAATAGAATAGAATAGAATTCTTTATTGGCCAAGTGTGATTGGGCACACAAGGAATTTGTCTTGGTACATATGCTCTCAGTGTACATAAAACAAATCAAGAATCATAAGGTACAACACTTAATGATAGTCATTGGGTACAAATAAGCAATCAGGAAACAATATCAATATTGTTGATACAATATTGCAACAAAATTACAGTCATACAGTCATAAGTGGAAGGAGATGGGAGGTGGGAACGATGAGAAGATTAATAGTAGTGCAGACTTAGTAAATAGTTTGACAGTGAGGACCTGTATACTGCAGGAGTCAAAAAGAGGGCTGTGAAAATATTTACAGACTCCTCGCATCCTGGGCATAAACTGTTTCAACTCCTGCCCTCAAAACAACGCTATAGGGCACTGCACACCAAAACAACTAGTCGCAAGAATATTTTTTTCTGAACGCCATCACTCTGCTAAACAAATAATTCCCTCAACACTCAAACTGTTCACTAAGTCTGCATTACTATTAATCTTCTCATCGTTCCTATCACCCATCTCCTCCCACTTATGACTGCATGACTGTAACTTTGTTGCTTGTATTCTTATCATTGATATGGATTGTTTCCTAGTATGATTTGATTGCTTATTTGTACCCTGTGATTGTTGTACCTTATGATTCTTGATGAATGTATCTTTTCTTTTTATGTACACTGAGAGCAGTGGTGAAATTCAATTTTATTTACTACCGGTTCTGTGGGCATGGCTTGGCTTGGTGGGCGTGGCAGGGGAAGGATACTGCAAAATCCCAATTCCCTCCCCACTCCTGAGGGAAGGATATTGGAAAATCTCCATTCCCACCCCACTCTGGGGCCAGCCAGAGGTGGTATTTGCCGGTTCTCCGAACTACTCAAAATTTTCTCCAGAATCTGTCAGAACTTGCTGAATTTCACCCCTGACTGAGAGCATATGCACCAAAGACAAATTCATTGTGTGTCCAATCACACTTGGCCAATGAAGAAGGAAGGAAGGAAGGAAGGAAGGAAGGAAGGGGAAAAGAAAAAAGAAAAGAAAGAAAGAAAGAAAGAAGAAAGGAAAGAAGGAAAGAAAGAAAGGAAAGAAAGGAAAGAAAGAGAAAGAAAGAGAAAAAGAGAAAGAGAAAGAATGAGAAAGATAGAAGGAAAGAAAGAAAGAAGGGAAGGAAGGAAGGAAGGAAGAAAGAGGAAAGAAAGAAGGAAAGGAAGAAAGGAAGGAAAGGGAAAGGAAGGAAAGAAAGAAAAAGAAAGAAAGAAAGGGAAAGGAAGGAAGAAAGAAAGAAGGAAAGATAGAAAGATAGAAAGGAAGAAAAGAAGGGAAAGGGAGGAAAGAAAGGAAAGAAAGAAAGGAAAGGGAAAGGAAGGAAGAAAGAAGGAAGGAAAGATAGAAGGAAAGAAAGAAAGAAGGGAAGGAAGAAAGAAAGAAGAAAAGATAGAAGGAAAGAAAGAAAGGAAGGAAGAAAAGAAGGGAAAGGGAGGAAAGAAAGAAAAAGAAAGAAAGAAAGAAAGGAAAGGGAAAGGAAGAAAGAAAGAAAAGAAGGAAGGAAGGAAGGAAGAAAGAAGGAAAGAAAGGAAGGAAGGAAGAAAAGAAGGGAAAGGGAGGAAAGAAAGAGAAAGAAAGAAAGAAAGGAAAGGGAAAGGAAGAAAGAAAGGAAGGAAGAAGGAAAGAATGAAGGAATGAAAGAAAGGAGGAAAGGAAGAAAGGAAGGGAAAGGAAGGAAAGAAAGAAAGAAAGAAAGAAAGAAAGAAAAAGAAAGAAAGAAAGAAAGAAAGAAAGAAAGAAAGAAAGAAAGAAAGAAAGAAAGAAAGAAAATAACCTAGAATAGCCCCAGGGCAGGGCGGGGTAGGCGAGGAATAAATGTAACCAAGAAATAAATATTGAAACTTTTAAGACGCCTCGCTCCACCTTACAGCCCTGTTGCAATTCCCAATAAACGAATTGCAACAGAGTAACCAAGGCGAGACGCCTCAACGTTCCATCTTCAATCAAGGCCACGCCTCCCATTATCTCAACGTTCCATCTTCAATCAAGGCCACGCCTCCCATTATCTCAACGTTCCATCTCGCGTAACAATGGACCGAAAAGCCCCGCTTTGCCTAACAATAGAAATCCTATCATACAGGGAATCTCAGATCCGCGGAGAAGGATCGGGTTAAGCCAAACTGCCCATCCAAACAGACCCCTAAGATTTCCTGCCTTTCCCACCCGGTACAAAATTGTAAATTACAAATACTGTAGCTAGAATGATATAAGTATACACTTATATCATTCTATCTACAGTATTTTTAATTTAACTCTGTTTTAATCTAACAGAGAATTCTATTACAACCATGGAAACAATAGACGTAAGTATGTTGTATAATATCCAGTTTCTATTTTTTTTTTCCCCTATACAGTATGACTATTGCTTTGCTAGGTGGCTCAGTGGCTAAGACGCTGAGCCTGTCGCTCAGAAAGGCCGGCGGTTCGAATCCCTAGTATAGGGATCCTTGAGCAGGGGGTCGGACTAAATGATCTCTGAGATCCCTTCCAACTCTGTTACTGTTGCTGAATAAGAGGAAAAATGGTCGTAATTAGGATGTGTATATTTTTTTTTTAAAAAAGGGTGTTGATACAACGAGGAGATCGCTGTTGCAAAATTGAAATTGGGATGT